CTTCTGTGGGAGCAGCCAGTAAAAAACTGCTTTTTCCTTACTTGATCCCTAAGCCATGGTAGGGAATGAAAAAATCCAGTCCATGGGTTGTCTTTCACTACCATCTTTGTAGTCGGACCAAATCTGTCAGTCGTCTTGTAGTAAAAACCCTGAAACAATGAAAAATGGTTTTTTTTTCACGTGGAAAAGGCCAGAGAAATGCAGTTTTTTGCTCTCCAAGCAAGCAGTCACACTGCCCAGTGCAGTCTGGGCCCTGGCTTTGCCATGGTGGGTCCTGGGAGAGTTTGGGGAGCTCTGACCTGAGCGTTGTGTGTTTTGTGAGGTTTTGTTACTGGCCTTACCACGGCTGCACGGAACACACCCTGTTCCTCTCCATTCATGATTGTCCTATAGATTTGTAGCATTTTTCCATTTCTGCTCGCTTAACTGCAGCTAACACTCTACAGCGCTAAAATCAATGTGAAATCAGTAATGGGGAGGGGGAGCAGAGGGGAGGAATCACTGCAGCACCTGGACACCAGCCAGGATCTATTGACAGCAAAGAATTGGCCACTACAAGAGCCACTCCACCCTTACAAACTAAAAAGTGATGCCCTCAGCTCTGCTTGCATGCTTTTGGTTGTAAGATCTTTTCCCAGGACGCTAGGAATACAGAACTCTTCCATCACTGCAACTTGGCAGCTCTCGTTCTTCCTCCAGGGACAAAAAAAAAAAAAACAACAGGGTGCAAAAAGCAATTTCAGCCTTTCAGAGTGACCTTCTCCAAAGTTTGTAATTCTTGAAGGACAGATATTTGTGTATTTTAATATTTCTAGCATATAATTGTATGTAGGGACAGCCCTGCACCAAATAGAATACTCACTTTGGGCTCCCATAGTTCTTCATCTTCCTTACTCAGAAAATTCCAGTCTTGAAAATCCAGACCCAGGAGCTGGACGATGTCATTGAAAGATTGTGAATAATCTGTGTCTTTATATTGACTTCACAGACAATCTTGGGAAAAGATGCTTCCACAGGATCTTGTTTTGTAGGAAAAGTAACAGACTTTTAGTTATTTCTGCAGTTTTACATGTGATATCTCTTGGTTTTCATCACAGTGAGCATTGATTATTCCTCTATATTTCCTTTTATATTGAGACAGGTTGAATTTATATTGCTTGATTAAGGATAAAACCAAAAAGGACAGTCATTGCTTTAAATTTAAACCTCTTGTGAAGGCTCTTAATTTGGAATACTTTAAAATAACAGCAGAAAACTTGATCCTCGTGACTTTTGCTTCGCTCAGGTGTAAGCAAGTTACCCATAAAGCTACAGGGAATTTCCAAATTTGTTTATCTCAAGGTAAGTTTTAACCAGAAGCAATAGAAAAACTCTTGTTTTCATCCTGTAATGTTTACTTCTGAATATATTCCAGCACACTGTCATTAGAATAGCTTTCTGAGGGTGATGTGACTTTGAGTCAGCGATCAATGGATAAATCCACCTGCTGCTGAAGAGTTCAGTGTTTTGAGTCCTTAATAATTTTTTTTACCTCTAGAAAAAGAAATAATTTTTAATACAAGTGGTAGTTGTTCAAGCTGTGTAAGTCTCAGAAATCTGAAGCCTGGGACTCCCCACTTAGGGTGTTCCTGGGTTTATTTTACCATTTCCATGGCAGGCTGCACTCAGGCTGCATCTGAAATAAATTGAAAATGTATCATTTGCTCTGAAATGTTACTCAGCAGTTAAGAAATCTGTATCTGTTAGCGTGTACATAAATGACTGTGATGAATGGAGTGTCTGAGGTGTGTAGGTAGTAAATCTATCATCAGCTTCCCTGGGTAAAGCGTGGAAGATGTCTCTGTGCTGTAAAACCATTCATCTTCCTTACAGAAACTGGCTGCATAGAGATGAATCTGTAGAGAACTAATTGCTGCACATCTCCATGAATAGCAAAATAATTCTTTAAACCAAGTTTTTTAAATTGGTTCTGTCAAAACTGTACTTTTTTTTTTCCCCCCTGCTGGTTATGGTGGTTTCCAGTCAGTGGTCCAGCAGCAGTGGTGTCCCACCATGCCATCACTCTGAATTGCCTCATCACTGCAGTTCTCTCTGAATTACCCTCTTTGTAGTTGTTATGTATTTATAGTTTAAGTATCCTTGGCATTTGGCTGCTTCCTCTGGTCGCTGGAGCTCACTGTCAGATTCAGCATTTTTGTATCAATTCAGTGTGAAATCCCAGCTGCTAAACTCTATAAATATTAAACATTTATAATTGAAAACTATCATGGACATCCTTGATGTATAATTTTTTTTAACAGAATGTGCCTTTAGCTGTCTGGCTGTCATTTCAGGATAACAAGACCTATAAATTGCTTTGGCTACCAACAGTTCTGTTTGCCCACACCCAACAAAGGTGTAATATGTAAATGGAGGGGCTTTCCCCCCCTCGTTTTTCCCTTTGAATATATTCCAGCTAATTTCAAGCCAGGCCAGCCTGCATGTTTTAGAACTAATTGAAAGGCAAATCTGTTCTGCTGCAGTAAACAAGGCAAGAGAAATTTTCTCCCTGAACTGCAGCTTCTAAAATAATTTCATGTCAAATCTTGGCTCCGAGATTGAACCTGCGCCCTTCCAGACATGTTCTGACTCCTCTGGAAAGATCAATATCATCCAGCTCCTTCCTGCTTAATATATTGACCCCTTCAGGGGAGGGTACCTTGTGGTGCTGCCAGAATTTCTTACCCAAAACTGAGTTTGCTCAGCACCTGGGATGGTCTTGGGTGAATTTGTTTACTCTGAGTGGAAACATTTCACATTCAGTTATTTTAGGGTACCAAAAGAAACCATATTGTGGTTAAGAGTTTGAAGCTTTTTTGACCTATTACACTGCTTTCAGCTGTTCACTCAGTGCAGCTGGCACAACATTGCTGAAACAATGGCTTGTGGATATTTTGGGCAGTTGTTGACTGCTTGGAAAGATGCTTTTTGGAAGCTTCCTTGGAATGTCAACCCCAGTTTCCTACCCACGCTCTCCCTTCAATTTGGCATTGTAATAAACACAGCTGGCTCTGCTCAGGTTCACAAACCCTCGATTTTGGACAGGAGCAGCCCCTTTGCTTTGCACCTGACTGCATTTTTGTGTAAAACATCTAAATCTGGTTGCTTAAACTACAGAAAAAAGATTACTTCATCTGTGGCGTGTCCTATGTCTTATTCCCTCTGTTTCCTGTAGGTGACAAAGACTTTGCTGGGATGACCAAGCCTCAGGCTCTCAGCCAACCATCCTCCTTGCTGCTTGAGCCCAAGGAGGGTTTTTTCCACAGGCATAAGTTATTTTTCTGCATTCTTCCCTTCCCTTTATTGCCTTTTCCCCTTAGTGACCTGTGCTGGCATCAAAGCAAAATTCAGCTGTTTGAGGTTGGCTTGATCTCAGTTTGAGTAGCATCTGCCCAGTCCTTTGTGCCTCCTTCTTCCTGCTTCTCAGTTGTGCAAGTACAAAAATGCCCTGGTTCCATCTCTTTTCTCTGCACCACTTATCTGGATCTTAAAACTTGATAAAAATGATACAGATCTGTATTTATTTAGCGTCCCTTGGTGGTTTCCAGCCCTCAGCACTGAGGCTTGCCCATGCTGTGTGTTGTGTGGCAGCATAGTAAGCACCTGAGATCTGTTTTTTATTTGATACCTGTCCACAAGTTGAACTGAGGTGTACCCTTCCCACAGTCTTTCCTGACCTGCTAAACTGTGAGGTAACACAGCACATCCTTTGTCTCCTGCTGGGAGTCAGTATGAATTAATTTTCTTTTTTTTTTTTGTTTTCATGTTTGTTTTTGTTTTCCCTTTTGAAATAAAGGCATTGTACCTAAAAAAAAAAAAAATGTATGTGCAGAAAAGTAATTGTAAAAGTGCATGTACAGCAAAGCACTGAGCTTCAGTATTTCTGCACTGGAGAAATCTCCCTTGCAGGGCTGGGGGATCATGTTTGTTTCTCTCCCAGCAGATAGTTGTAAGGAAATTTTATACAGCTTTGAGCCTCGAGTGGTTCAATGAGGCATGTTACATTAAACCTGAGTGCTTTAATTGTTCCTTTCTCCGGGGAGGATTCTGTAGCAGCACCTATGAACCCCTGCAGCTTTCTTTTGCTGGTGAACTGGGATGGCAAATATCCCAGCGAAACTCCTGTTGTGGCACAGATTTTGTCTTGATGCCCCATGGACAATAACTCAGGAGCAGTGTGGTGTCAGGGCTGTCATTCCCTGATAAATCAGAGTGGTGAGAGCACAAGGGAGGCAGTTCAGTGCCCTGGGGCTCAGCGTGGGGCTGTGAACCTCTGGGACATGTGGGGCTGTGGATGCCACCAGACCTGTGAACACCTTGGCAGAAAGCAGGAGATGTATTCTCTGACTCTTCCAATGTCTCATGTGAGACTTACTCCTGAAAAATGAGTCATTTTTATTAAGGATGGATGTGGAAAATAATTTTTTTCCGCCTTGGGAAATGAGAATGACAGGCTCTGGAGGAAGACCCACTGTGCAGTGACCTATGATTTATTTTTAAGGATTTCCTGCAGGTGTCTGACCCTTGTTTGTGGGCAGCTGTGGGATCTCCATCGCTGCTGTGGTCCTGCAAGATGATGGATTTTACTTTCTGCCCAGCTTGGACCTGTGCCCTGAGTTTCATGTTCTGCCTCTTCACCATCTGCTCTTAGCTGGAAGACCCTGGGTGGCACCTGCAGGGTGATTTTTTTTCCTCCAGATATCAGCAGTTAATAATGCCAGTGCCTGAGCTGACTCTGGCAGGTTAATGGGAATACTCCTTCCTTCTCTCTTCCCTCCTCCCAAGCTTTCCCTGGCTTGAGCAGTACCCGAGCCAGCCTCGTGTGCTTGGCTGGGTGCCTCGGGCTCTGCATGCTCTGCTTCTCCTCTCAGGTTTGATTTGGAGCTGTGTAAACCCGGGGTGTGCTTAAAATGAAAACGGATTTTATTTGGACAATGCAAAATGGGAAACGTAATTATAAAACAGAGGCGCTGGGAAAGCAAAGAGGAGGCAAGTTTAAGGTAAACCTTACAGGACACAAGCTTGTGGTCTTGCATAATCTTTGTGCTCAAGTTTTCCGTCCCCAGAGGGAGCTCCCTATAGCTGTAATCTTAGTTTTTTTAGTGGTGATCCAGTACTTTTGGTTATTTGAGGGTGGGTAGCCGTAGCTGCCTGGCCTCAGGACTAGCCCATGGAGACAGAGATTGAATCAGCACTAAATCTGGCTGCTCCACAGCCAGTCTGAGCATTCTGAGCATGGGAAATCCTTTCATCACAGTGGCCCTCATGCTTCTGCCCCCACGAGCTCTGCATTTTACCTTTGGCTTTAAGTGCAATCCTAAAAGTATTCTGGTTTTTACCAGTCCCTTTATTCTTTACTAGTTATGCCCTGGGGTCTATGTGTCCATGCAGGAGTTACATGTGGTTTACCAGTCCACCTTTTTTTTTCCCATTTGCTCTCTTCATTCCCTTTGCAAACATTTCCTTTCACTGTACTCTTTTCAATGAAAAAAAGCATTGGCTTTCCTCCCCTTTTCTGAAGTGGCACAAAACTCTGTTGGCTGTGTGTTTTGAAATCAGCAATAGGCCTGTCTTAGCAAATACCCCAGCTTCCAGCCTTCAAGGTGTTTCATGAGAGATACCAGGAGCTGGAGTAGATGGTTGTGCAGGTCCCTTCCGACTGAACAGTTTTGTTCCATGGTGCATTTTGTAGAGCTGGCAGCTGTGACTGCTCAGGTGGTCTCACTCAGTCTCACCACTGCAAACTGGCCACGACGTGTCACAAGCAGTGCTCTGGCCCTTCCAGTTTATTTTCCCTCCCACACTCTTATTCCCTGGAATTGTAAAAATAGGAAGAATTTGGTGCAGTAATGCAAAAAGTTAAGGTGGACATGGGGCCTCTGGGTGAAGAGAATGTTTCTGTGTGGCAGCTCTTCACAGTTTGTTCTCGTCCTGGTTGCCAGAGCATCCCTGCAGGTAAGGATCAGGCTCACAGGTGGTTTTGTTGAGTGAGGGCAGAAATCAAATCCTCTGTGATTCTCTCCAGTCTCCCTTTGATGCTTGTTATGCGTATTTTGTTGAAGTATCAATGATCATTCTGGACATTGCTGGAAAAGTTTAGTGTTAATTAAAATCTCAGGTTTTGAGGGGTTTATAAGTCACTCTGTTAATTTAGAGAAGGCTGAAACTTGGCAGATGCTGAAGCAATTTCAGGATGGCAGTCTGCAGGCTCTACATCCATCACCAGCAGCAGGAGATGATATTTCTAGCAGCAGGATACAGTGCTCTAATTCCTTCAATTAGCATTACCTGTTTGCAGGCTTTGCTGCTGGAGACAGTGAGGCATCTTCCAAGGGGCTGCTTTGTCTTTCCAGAGCCAAAAGATTTTGTGTTTGTTTGAAGGGTGTCAGTCACAGACCTCAAGATGGAGCAATTAGGGAGTAGATTGAAGTTAGTATTCAGCAGAGTTTGGGAACACAAAACCCGAAGAATTTCTATTTGATTCATTTTCTACAACTTTATGAAGATTGCTGTTTAATTTTTATTTTTGGGTAAACAAGAGATCCATGATTTCTCCCAAGTTAGCTTCTCCTTTCTGACAGGAGCAGCATTGTTGTGTTTGAGTGGTAAAGAGCAGCAGATTGGGAAGCACATCAGGGGTGAGAACAGGGTGATGTGTGGCCTTTCTGTTCCAGGCTAGAAAGGCCACATGGTCATTCAGCACCTGAGATTGGGGCCAAGCTGGGAGTGAGTAGCTCCTTTTGGAGTTGGTCCATGCTGAGGGTTGTGGTGAGAAATCCCTTAAATATTGCACACTTTGGCTCATCTATGACTCCAGGCACTTTATTTTAGTGAAGCAGTACCCAGCATGCAGACTAACCCAGCGTGTGCTTTGCTTTCAGGTGGTCCTACCCTGACTTTTTCAATAGGTACAGTGTGCTTATGAACAAGAGAGACCTCTCTAAGAGCGACACGAAGCAGATCTGTCAGACCCTGCTGAAAGACCTCATTAAGGTGAGCTGGGACCAGATCTTTGTCACTGATGCTAAAAGCACAGAACACGTGGCTTTGATGTGGCCTGAAATTGCTCCAGCTTCACCTGCTGCATGTGCAGGTGCTTCTCCACCCCAGGCAGCCTGGGATTTTTCCCAAAATGAGGGAGTCTTGCAAAGAGGTGTCAGGAGCATGGGATTTCTTTGCTGTGGTCAAGAGGAGTGAATCATTTCAGTGCTGGTGAAATCCAGAATTTTGTCACTGGCTGGGCATGAATGACTGGCCATTTCTAAAAAATGTGTCCCCCCATCCCCTCCTTCTTCTTTTGTCTAGCCACAGCTGGAGCACTTTTCAGGGGTCCACCCTGGGATGTCATGAACCTTAGTCAGTCATTAATTGACTCTTTGCACAAATGAGTGAGGGAAAAGTGCAGTAAATGCCTTTTCTTGATGTGTGGGAGACTTTCATTGGCCCTATGTGGAAAAAACATCATGCAGACTGGGACTTCTTTACCACAAACAAGTCAGAAGATTTTGCCACCTCACCTTACCCAAACTTTACTGCTTGCTTGTATGCATTATTTTTAAATTGCAAATGTGCATGCAAAGGTTTCTTGCGGTTGAGTGGCTCAGAATGTGGCCAGCACCTTAGACAGGTTTTAATGCTTGATCTCTTGTTTTCCTGTGGGGTTTTGAGGAATTAACCCAATTGGGTTCCTCTTTTTGCTTTTTGCACCCAATGTTACCCTTGACTGCAGAGCCTTTTGCAGCACATGTATGACTTTGTAGGTCTAAACATTAATCTTTGCAAAAAAGAAATATTTTTCTTGAAGTGCTGTGGTGTTGCATTTCTAGTCCGGTGTAGTGGAAGACATCCCTGCCCATGGCAGGGAGGTTGGATATATGTGAGGTTTAAGGTCCCTTCCAACCTAAACAATTCTGTGATTCTGTGATTTCTTTATTTACGCAAAAACGAACAAATAACAAAAGACCAAATCCAAACAAAACCTCCAAACCCCCTCAAACAAGCAAACAAACAAACCCAAAACAAAATAAACCCCAAATAAACTCCTGCACCACAAAAAACCAAAACCAAACAACAACAAAAAACCCCAGATCAACTAAGCAAAAAAATCCACAAAACACAAAAACCCAACCCAAAACCTCTTCAAAATTGTGTAAATATATGGAGTTTAAGACTGAATCCTAGTGCTGCTATCCTTAATGGGTGTGTAGATGCTCAAGTATAGTAAGTCTAGTAATATCGAATAATGTCTAATAAGTCTAATATATCTAATAATGGAGTCTAATAATATCCTCATTACCCAATTAAGAAATGTGAGTTGATAAATTTGATTCAAAGTGGTATTTTTACACTCTATCTACTAATCAACTTAGACTGAAAACAAAAAGAAAAAACTGATGTTTGCCTCAATTAAATATAATTTCCTTTATGCTTTTGAAAAGGATCCAGACAAGTTCCAGTTTGGCCGTACCAAGATCTTTTTCCGTGCAGGCCAGGTGGCATATCTGGAGAAGCTGCGTGCAGATAAGTTCAGAGCTGCCACCATCATGATCCAGAAGACGGTGAGGGGCTGGCTGCAGAGGGCCAGGTACCAGCGGCTGAGGCGAGCCACCCTCGCCCTGCAGCGCCACACCCGCGGGCACCTGGCACGCAGGTGGGTCCTGGGCAGCCTCAGAGGGGGCAGCTGGGGAGCCAAGGGTGGAAACACCTCTGTTTTCAGTCTGTTTCATCCTGGGGGTTTCATATGAGGAGCTTTGGAAATGCTCTGTTTGCTTGAAAGCAAGATGCGTAACGCGCATGTGGGTAATGCTGTGGTGAGAGTTTCTGAAAAAGCTCTAAAGGGCTAAAGTTGGGACTTATTTCTGGCCCCTCAATCTGGCTTTATTTAGGGGCAAGAGATCAAAATTACTTGTCTCAAACTGGTTTCATATTTACGTTAGTTTAATTTCTAGGTTCTGGGCCAAGGTCATAACATAGACAATTTGGATATAATGAGGTGACTACAGTGCTCAGGTGGAAACACCTCTGGCCACCTGGGTTTTCAGTCTGTTTCATCTTGGGGGTTTCATATGAGGAGCTTTGGAAATGCTCTGTTTGCTTGAAAGCAAGATGCGTAACGCGCATGTGGGTAATGCTGTGGTGAGAGTTTCTAAAAAAACTCTAAAGGGCTAAAGTTGGGACTTATTTCTGGCCCCTCAATCTGGCTTTATTTAGGGGCAAGAGATCAAAATTATATGCCTCAAACTGGTTTTATTTAGGGGCAAGAGATCAAAATTACTTGTCTCAAACTGGTTTCATATTTACGTTAGTTTAATTTCTAGGTTCTGGGCCAAGGTCATAACATAGACAATCTGGTTGTAATGAGGTGACTACAGTGCTCTGAAGGGTTTAGGTGAAAGTGTTTCACAGAACTAATATTTTCCTGGGACTGCCTTTGGTAGAGGGCATTTGGATCAGCCAGGGAAGAGCTGCCTAGTTGGTATGCACTCCTCCCCTGCAGGGACAAGGTTTGTGTCTCCTGATGTCCAGGGGGAGTTCTCAGGATTGATTGGCTGTATCCTTTGTAATGAGGAAAATCACTCTAAATCACTGGCAGGGGGGCTGTGTACAGTAGATAACAAAAGAGCCTCATGTTAACTGTTTCTGTGCAGGAACCCGTGTGTCAGTGGCTTGCTGGGGATTCTGTAGGTAGCACTGTGCTGGAGGGTGGGTACCTGCTGGCAGGTACGGGGTGGATGTGAGGGAGGAGTGAAGCAATGGAACAGCATCCCAACCCACTGGCCAACTTTCCTTCTTGTGGCCCTTCTTCAAGCCAGACAATCAGCAGAAGAACATCAGAGATACTAGCTGAGTTTGTGGTGTTATCTGTGATTGTGAAAGGGGTTGGTGTCCGGGAGAGCCAGCTGCTGCAGAGTTTCTCCTACATAATTTTTTAGTTCCCCTCTTGGTGCAGGGTTTGTAGGGTGGGATGGCGTCTGAGTAACTAATGTCTCTTTTTGGAGACGGACCATCCCTTATCGTCTTCAGGAAGCCCTGCATCAGTGGGTCCTAATGAGAAACTATTTGCCTCAATCAAAGGAATATATAAACCAATCTGATGCGGCTCTTCATTTTGATGCACTTTTCACAAAATAAAAGTGGATCAAATTTCTGTATAATGCTGCATGCTGAGAGCAATAAATGAATCATAAATCTAGCAAAACAAGCTAATTATCAAATTTAATGGAGGGTTTATGGGCATTTATGAACAGGTGTAACAGCAAATTGAACATGAGTTCAGCTGGAGAATGGGAGCAACATGGTGCAGAGCTGACCACATCCCTCATTATTTACTGTCTCTGAATGGCTCGAGGCTCTGCTCAGGAATGTTGCCAAAGCAGTGCACACCAGTTTAAATGTCAAATCAATTTGCTGCTGTTTTCACTGAGTCAGTAGTGTGCTTTTTATAGTCAGGGAGGTGATGGAGCCAACCTGGGTGCTGGTTAGAGCACGGATGCAAGGCAGAGAGTTCAAACCAAGGAAAAACCTGGGGAATACTTGGGTTTAATGCTGTTTGCGAGCAATGGGGTGTGTTGATTTGTGGTTCCAGTGCTCCTGGGTTCAATGGCTGTTGTCTGATAGCATGGAGGCTTTCTTAGCCCAGCTGTTGGGGTGGTCTTTCCTGAGTACTACCAAGCCACACTGGACAAAAGCTTTCCTCTCCCCCTGGTTTAAAACTTACTGCATCAGAAGAAAAGTTGAGTTTATTTTGCCTGCTTACCTTCCTCCTGTTTCACTGCAGGCTTTTCCAGCACCTGAGGAGGACGAGGGCTGCCATCATCCTGCAGAAGCAGTACCGAATGCTGCGGATGCGCCGGGCCTTCCTGAGGGTCCGCAGCGCCACCCTCACCATCCAGGCTTTTGCTCGGGGCATGTTTGTCAGGAGGATTTACCGCCAGGTACACCCCCAGGAGGGCCTTTGCATGCAGAAAGAACCTTTATGTTTACTTCTGCGGTGTGTTTGTTGTGGCGGTGCTGATGTTTGTGAAGCTGACAGCCCCCAGTGTTGCCAGAGGACCGAGGGTGATGGTGAGCTTTGCTATTTAAAGCTGTGCGAGCAAAAAACATTTTGGCAGCAGCACCTCAGCAGAGCAGCTAAATGGAGTTGGTCACTGTGGTGCCAGGAGGTGTTGTGGAGATGTGGAAATGTCATTTGGTCTAACTTATGCTCTGCTGAAACCTCCCCATCCCACTGAGTGTGTGTTGGAGCTGCGTGCAGCGGCTGCTCCCCATAGTGTAAGAAGACAAGGAGGGTCTGTCATGGAAGGCAGTAAGTCATTTATTGATAGAAATATCCCTTTAATTAGGTCTCTCCTTTACATTTCTGTGTTAAACCTGGAGCAGGACACAAAAGATGTAGAGTTTTGTGACAGCAGTGATACAGTGATAGGTCACTGAATCCTGTGGCGGTTTGGGTGTAAGGGAACCCTAAAGATCACCTCATTCCACCCCTGCCATGGGCAGGGACACCTTCCACTCTGCCACGTTGCTCCAAGCCCTGTCCAGTTTGGTCTTCGTCACTTCCAGGGATCCAGGGACAGCCAAAGATTCTCTGGAAAACCTGTGCCAAGGCATTGCCGACCTCACAGCCAGCGATTCCTTCCCAATAGCCCATCTAACTCTGCCCTCTGGCAATGGGAAGCCATTGATTGCCCTTTGTCCTGTTCCCTCATCACTTGTCCAGAGTCTTTCTCCAGCTACTCTTTGTCAGGAAACTGAGAGCAGCTTTGGACAATTTTCTGTTTACTCTTCAGACCCAGCACTAAACTGGTGCCTAGCTGGGTTGTGGGGCTACTCCAAGAAGTGAGAGGCTTCAATAAGGAAAAGCCTGTTCCTGGAAATAATTGAAATTACCTGGACACCTGGTGACCTCCCAGAGAGACCAGGGCTGTCCTTTGAGACACAGCAGCTGGTGATAAGGAATTTGTGCTGCCACTGCTGTTTCAGCATCTGTTTTTTAAAGTGGAAGCTCCAGCAGAGGAGGCAGCTGATCCAGCAGCTAAACTCTCTGATATTCCAGGCCACCCAAATCTTAACAAGGTGTAGAAGTTGTCTGAAGGCTAGGCCTCTCTAATCTGAGTGTCCTTAATCTCTGGAGCACCTGGGTATAGATTTTAGATAAAAGTATTGGTTCCAGTGCATGTTCAGTGACAGATGCAGGGCAGTGGGTGATGATCTGTGGGATGAGGACATGCTCAGTGCCCACCCAAAAATTTTCTGTAAAGCTGAAATAAGTCCCCAAGGCAATGCAGTGGGGTTTCTTCTACCTCTTTGAGCATCCATAACTTTCCCCATTTATGAAAGCCGAGACTGGAGACATATAAAGCTCATTTCACAGTCATTCTTGCTGCATCTTAAATTCATACAATCCCTTTATTCTGAATTAAAATTTGCAACTGCAAAGAAGGCCTTAGGGTGAAACAAAATATTTATAAGAGAAGCTGATAGGATAACCTTTTCTGAGACAACTTAACCCAAACTAATACCAATAAAGTGTCTTGTAATCTTCAAATTCTCCTATTTATTTCCTTAGCAGACTGAAGCATAAGGAAGCTATTAACAACATGCTGTTTGTATCTCTAAAATGTCAGCCTTCAATTTTAGAGAGCAAAATTGAACTGCCACTGACTGACAAGATAGCTGTAAATTTTGGGGAAGAAATCCAATGCAAACGTGGTGGAAATTTCATGGAAACAGATAAAAATTGCCACGAATTGAACCGTGCTAGAGAAGTAGCTGCAGACTATAGTGAAAGGACTCATAGTTTTATTTGAAGGTTATCCACATGATATGAAATCCCATCAGGACAGCATTTATCTGCAGTAAAAATTATCATAATGCAGAGGCAGAGCACAGGAAAAAAAATCTACAGATCTGTTCTGGTGATGTCTGATACTGAGGGGACAGTGAGCTCATTGCTGAGTGTTGATGTGTCTGTTAATGAGTGTTTACTCTGGAGCTGTGGCTCTGGTGGATCTCAGGACTCTTCTGAGGTAGTCCACAAAGTCACACTTGAGCCCAGATGTCACCTGCTCCCACCAAGTCCTCACAACCAGGATCATATTCCCTCGTGCCACTGACCAAGCAGGTCTTTACTTTGAGACCAAGCAGGCTCCTAGGAGAGGTGTCCTGCCTGCATCCATTGAGAACAGTGCCTGTCCATGAAGGAGGGTGCAAAACCACAGCCTCCATTTCCAGCCATCAGCACCTGCATCTTCCAGGACATTCCTTGGAGGAGAAGCCCTTTCCAACCAGTTTGGGAAGTGTTTAATGTTTATTGCCACCAAACCAGAGTTCCTGTATAGGTGACCTTCCAGGAATGGCCTTAAGCTGAAGAAAAGTAGATTTAGAGAAGATATTGGGAAGGCTGTGAGGGTGGGGAGGCCCTGGCACAGGTTTCCCAGAGGAACTGTCTCAGGACTTTAACTGCACAGAGTGACCTGGAGATGCAATAGAAAATCTCTTTTCCCAGCCCAGTGGTCGAAGAAGGAGTCAGAACCCTTCAGTTCTTGGTCTCAAGGTTGTTTATTGTATCTTATCTATAAAATTCTTCCTCCTGACCTGCCAAGGTCCACTCAGTAGGACAGACAGAGGCACTCTGCCTGCCCCCACAGAGGTGTTATCTTTTTACACTAAAAACTACGTGTACAATATTTACAATTACTTCCCAATGCCTATCACCTTTGTTAGCTTCTACTCTAAACCAATCTAAAAGTGCCAATATCACAGCAGAAGATGGAGGCCAAGAAGAAGAAGGAGAAAGGCTGGACACACCCAGATTAATCCATCCTGGCCCCTGAACCCCCATTCTAAAAACCCCAAAAAATCTATTTTTCACTCTATGACAAAGTGATTATTATTCTACTTAGACTTTTGTGGCTTGCAGATCCTCATATAAGGATGGTAACTTTTTCCATGGGTCATAATCAAAGTCACAGGTGTCTT